TCAAAGGTACCTGCTTACATCCGAACTAAACAAATGAGCCTGTGCACACATATGTGTGTTTAATAATCTAGTTCAACAGGTTTTGACTAACCCCTTATCTTTGCATTAACTACAAACATATCAAACATGCTGTTTCCTGTCAAGGTTACTTGCTGGTAATGGTGCAGTTTTTTGAATATTGAAAGAGCTATGCCCTCATTATATGATGCTGCAGTGATACATTTCAAGAAGAACTAAACATAAGGAAAAATATTAACTGATTAAGTGAAGTGAACACATAGTAACCATAATCAGAGGCAAATGAGTAACTAGCAAACCTGGGCACGGTTAAAGTGGCACAACTTTTGGGCAGAGGGAAGATGTTAGATAATGGTGTTACTTGGTGCTGTCGCATATACAACAGAACGACCAAATCAGTACCTATTTGAGGAATATTTCTATTTTAAGGAATAAATTACATCTTTGGTACTTTCCTGAATAATATTATGGCACAGTGGAGTGGTTCAAGGCAGTTTTGGCATCTGATCAGAAATGGAGTGCAAAACATACAGGGGAATCTGCAGTGGGACATATTTAAGAAATGTAATTTGAGAAATGATGGCATAACTTAGTTCACTGATTCAATTATCTGAAGAAAAGTCTACATATTTGAAAGCTTCCAACAAGGATGCCATTGCTGTTAGAGCTGCTGCTGAAAGATGAAACACATTCTGAGTCAAACATTTTGTTATCTCTGTAGCTGGTGTCAGAGCTGAAAGAGCAGAACACGTTACTGAAAACGGAAAAGGAGGAGCTGACCCGCCGCATCCATGACCAGGCGAGGGAAATAACAGGTTGGCTCTGTTCACGTCTGTTTTCTATTTCATGTTACCTTGTAAAGCCACAGTCTACTGCATGGATTGGGCTGATTTGCCTTAGTTTGCTTTCCTTTTTAGTTTAATGGTTTCATTTCTTTGTTTTAAGAACTCCCATACGTCAGAATTATTTACTATTTGAGTTCCCATGAAGTAGTAAGTAGGGTCTCTTTGGTGAGGTGACTGTTACAAAGCATTTAACTTTGAAAAATAAAGCTCTGAAATCTAGTGCAGTTAATCTACTGCAGCTCTTCTGGCTGCTGTGGCTGTGCAAGTATGAAGGGTGTGATGGAGGCAGCTGCAACCAGGATGGTCAATATGCTTGAGGTGTAAAGCAGCTCCCATCTTGATTTTTACATAATGCTCCACTGGGCTAATGCCCTTTCTTCCTTCCTCCTAGAATTACTAATGCAAGGTACTGGCAGAATAACTAACTTCACTTATTGAACCCTTCTGTGTTTACCACAATAATGGTTTTGGTCCTTCATATATTTGGCTTAGTTCTGCCTTCCAAAGCACAAATACCACGCACCAGCTTCAAACAACAGACTCTTCCACCACCTGTGTTCTTGGTGCAAACACATGCCTGTACCTCCAGGACACCTGCACTGCATGGTAGGTAGAGCTGGAGTTCTCACTTTGGATTCCTGTTCTCCATGGCAGAGACGATGGAAAAGAAGCTATTGGAGGAGACGAAGCAGCTGGAGCTAGATCTGAACGATGAACGGTTACGGTACCAGAACCTGCTGAATGAGTTCAGCCGTTTAGAGGAGCGGTACGATGATCTCAAGGATGAAATGAACTTAATGGTGGTAAGTGGCTAAGCAGCTAAGAAATACAAAAAATAAAAATAAAATCTAAAAAAATTCCCAAATGTGTTTAGGCAGAATCTAGTGGTACAAGTTAGTAACTGATTCTGCTGTCAGCTGTGTGGTGGTCACTTGTACCTGACAAGAGAATTTGTCCTTTTAAATATTGATTTATTAGATTAGCTTAGGCAAAACAAATACATTTTAAATTTATCTTTTTTTTTTTATTATTTCCTAAAATTTTATTTTAATTTTCATGTTTGTGAAGAAGGCTGAATTTCTGCTGTGACACTTTGCTAGTGGTATTGCACGTGCTAGCTGCCCTATTTTGCTCTGAAGTTACTCACATGTGCTAAGGTTTGTACCACATTTATCCAGTGTTAAATTTTAAGTAGTTCTAGGAATATTTTATGTGGCAGGAAGAAAATATATTCGTCAATATCTGGGAAGTTAGGGAATTGCTGCCTGTGCTTCTGAGCTTTTTTTTTCCCACAAAATGCTGCACTCTTGCTTGATTCTGCTTTTTGCAGCAGTACTTGATGGTGTGGGATCTGACCTGTCTCCATAGACTTGATTGTGCACTACATCTCATAGAGTTTAGGTGGCTTGAGAGACCGGAATGAAAAATACATTCTTATGAATGTTGATAGCTGTGGTATAACACCAAATATTACAGGCTAAACTACAGGTTGTGAAGAGACAGTCACAAGGAAAACCATGTAGGGGTATTGATTTGTTTCATTTGCGTTCCAGAACATCCCCAAGCCTGGACACAAAAGAACGGATTCAACTCACAGCAGCAATGAATCTGAATATACTTTTAGCTCTGAGATCACAGAATCAGAAGACTTACCAGTGAGGATGGAGGTGATGTTAAAAAAACCCACAACTTTTCATTATCAATGGTTGACTCATTCCTATCTCCTTTTTTGCCATACATACTTGTGAACACCATATCCTTATACTGAGATATGTAATGCTTTAATGCACCTTTTTCCATTTCCTTTTTGAAAACAGCTCATTCTCTAATTAGTTGTAGTCCAATGTAAAAAGACTTTGTGAAAGTGTCGTCTATTACAGTAAACATAGATTAATTAATTTCCAATTAATTTCCATTTGTGAAACGTTTGCTTGTCTGTGTTTGTAAGCACAATCATTTGGGAACTCAGAAAACCAGTGAGACTCCCTGAGGAAGTCTGTATGCTGTATATTCAAGGATTGAAAGTGGCAAGGCAGTGAGACACATTTTTAGTAGATACATGGAATGAGTTCCTTGTTAAGGATGAGAACCTCAGGTTTGCTTAATTTAAAAAAATTTCAGAAAGGTGACTCGCTTGATTCAGCTAATGAATATTAAGTCATATGATAAATAATATGGGTATTAAATAATTAAATGAATATTAATATTAATAATAGATATTTGTGGTGCAACTCCAAGCTCTTCTTAGTATTTTCCAAGGTAACTCCCCCTTTTGGCCACTCCCAAAGTGGGACTGTCAACACAGCAGAGAGTCATCAATTTCATGGTCTGACTGCTTCACAGCCTGCAGATGCAAATCTTTTTCTGTGCATTCTGTAGATCTCAGCTGTGAGCCATCACGCAGCTCACGCCATTTGCTCTCTGTCTAAGTCAGTTACCTCCACAGTTGCTTTTTCCAGGCTATCATTAATGTTTTTGAAAGCCTCCAGAGAAAATAATTTTCTACTGCAAACACCCTGGCACACTGATGCTGACACTTATTCTGTGTGGGCTCTTTCATAATTACCCTTCCCACTGATATTCTGCGGCTTGCATAATAGTTTCAGGAAGATGCTCGTACCATCTTGGAGAGTCAGGAAACGGGCAGTGCAACTACGTATGGTTTCATTTCACATACCAGCCAAATGTCATCTTTTCTTTTGGCTAATAAACTTACTGAAGTGCTGTTGTAGAGCCAGTTTTGTTTTTTATAATATAAATGAAAAGAACTAAGTCTCACAAGAGTGTGAAAAAAGGCAGCACTGAGAAGATTAAATCTGTATTTGTTTAACCCCTTAAGATTTCAAACTCCACTTTGACTCTAGACTAACAATGTAGATTAATGATGCAAAAACATTAAAAAATAGGGTCCATCTCAGTGCAGACCTGGAAAGCCAGAAATGCCAAAGTTTCTTTTTTTTTTTTCCTGAGCTGTTGGTGAGGTTTATGACTCTTCCCCTCAACAGTAAAAGGCGATGAAGTGGAAATGGCTGTGCTTGCTTGTCTGCTACAGTCATTAATATTAATCTTCTAGTTCCTTTTCTAGGCTTCAAAATTTTATGGTGCATTTCATAGTAAATGCTTTGATCTTCTTGCTACATAAAGTACAAAATGGCTGATGGACAATTTCTGATGCACCTTCAGATTACAAATGCTGGTCCTTGCCTAGAAAATAGTGAAAAATCTAATGGATTAGGCTCAGAACAAGCTTTATAATTAGCATAATAAATGGAAAAAGGCATAAAATTTATCTTCTGGTACCTATTTTTTATGTCACATTACACTAAATTAACCTGTAAATCTACAATCAGCATAGAGCTTTCTCTGTAGCTGAAGAACTTAACTATAGAAATTATTGAAAACTAAAAAGGAAAAGCCTCTATTTACAGTTGTTTCCAGGTGAGTCTAACCACAGACTTTTTTTTTCCTCCTTTCTCCCTCCAAACAAGTAAGAATACAAGGTATGCTCAGTTATAGACCTGTCTGCTAGGTAGTCTCTAGTGCTTTCTTTTGCTAGGCTTTAGGCTTAGATACTTTTTATACTAGTTTATCTTTTTTAAAAAAAAATAGCATTTGACAGCTGGTGAAATATTTTAGATGCCAATAGTCAGCTCTCAGAATCAAGTAAGATTTCTGTGTTCCTGTCTTTCCCCAATCCGTTACCGATCTTTACTCACTGTAGTGCTTCCTTGTGATGTGGAAGGGGAATACTTCTTGACTTTCTTCTGTTCTTTCTAAAGCAGGAACCAAGTGAGAAAAAGGCACCATTGGATATGTCTCTGTTCCTCAAGCTCCAGAAACGGGTTACAGAGCTGGAGCAAGAAAAGCAATCTCTGCAGGATGAACTGGACAGAAAGGAAGAACAGGCTCTCCGTGCTAAAGCTAAGGTGGACTCCTCCTGGCTGATCAAATGCTGACGCCAGAGTATCCCTTCTTGTGAAATAGTAGCTGTGTGAATGCCAACTGGCTTTTACTGGATCCTTACCTTCCTCTAATACTTGCTTTATTTAATGAGTTTTATGCCTGATTCTTAGTACTAGGGACTGGTTATTTAGTTTTCCAAGGCCCTTGAGATTCTCTGCTGGAAGTCAACAGGAACAAAAAGTGCTTGTGACTTTGCTTAAAAAAAAAAAAAAAAGGCTGTATTTATTAAGGAATAGCAATATAGAAATCTACTTAAATGATGGAAAGAATGAGTAATTGTTCATTTTAGGCAATGTAAGAAAAGTTTCAACCATGATGCAGAGACAAAGTGCTGGGATTAGGCATGTTTAGCAGATTTTATTTGAAATTCTTCTCTGATTTGGTCTCCTTAAGTACTTACAAAAATACGAAACCAGTTTTAGCAATTGTTTCCTATTACACTTCCACCAGCGAATTTTTTGAGTATCGTGGGATTCACCCTGCTCTGTTTTGCTACCAGAGAAAGTAGTGTGATTTGTACATTATTTTATTTATAATAACAAACTGTGTGTCATAAACATAAGTAAATGAAAGGAAACAGTGCCAAATTCAAACTAAAGCACTCGGCAGTACCAGAATGAGTGTTTTCCAGTTTTACAGGAAAACAGTTTCATTTCCCTTTTCTTCTTCTGCCTCAATTAAACTAAGGAATACAAAGGATTGGATTTTTATTTTTCACGCTTGTCTCTGTTCTTTCATAGGAGGAAGAAAGGCCTCCAATAAGAGGTGCAGAGCTGGAGTATGAGTCACTGAAGGTAATTCTAGAAGGGAGCCTTCTGTTATTTTTCTAGTGAGACTATTGCCACCAGTTTTATGTGCTGGCACAGAAAGTTACATCGTCCCTTCTGTTTCAGGATATAAGGTGGAGAGACTAGAACAAAACTTTACCAGAAATCATTTTATTGTAGGATAGCCCTTTTTGAAGTGTAGAATGTATGAATGGAGCTACAGAACAAAAAGATTCCCTAACAGAGGGGAAGTTCTCTGTTGAAACACTTAGTACAGCTTGCAGGTTAATTTGCATAAAAATACAGCAATAAATGTAGGCTTCATTTCCAAACACATTATTTAAATTAATGCATACTTTAGACCACTACAATTAAAAATATTTCCTAATATCACTAACTGATGCAAAATCTTCTTAGCCTGCTGACCACTGTATGTATGAACTTTTTTTTTTTCTTTTGTTAAGGGTAGAAGAGGAGAAAAGATTGGGAAATTTTTCCCCATCTAGCTTCTATGAGTCATTTATATATGTTCTGATTTTGCACTTCAGAAAAAAGGGTTAGCCCTCCACCGTAGTCCAGAGGCCAGGGATATGGAAGAGGGTGATTAATTTGTTGTAGTTACTGGTTGATTTCACCTTTTCTAGCCATACTTTTGCACCTGTGGTTTATAGGCATGTTGGAATGCTGCTGGGTGACAGAACTGTCTCTATTTCTTGCAGCGTCAAGAACTTGAATCTGAGAATAAAAAACTGAAGAATGAGTTGAATGAGCTGCAGAAAGCCCTCACAGAAACACGGTCTCCAGAGGTAACTGCTCCCGGTGCTCCTGCATATAGAGTCCTCCTGGAGCAGCTGACTTCAGTAAGAGAAGAGCTTGAAGTACGCAAGGAAGAAGTCCTCATCCTGAGGTCTCAGCTTGTTAGCCAGAAAGAGGCTATTCAACCCAAGGTAAATAATAGTCAGCAGATGCACTGTGTGCTAAAGTTACATTGCATCACTGGCATGCTTTACTTAATTTAAAGGCATGCTTGAAAAGACAGGAAATACAGTCTGGCTTTGAAAGCCTTTCTAAGTGTAATCCATTGATCCATTATTGCACAAATTGCAGCAGTCCGAATTGGGAGATTCTATTAATAAACCAATTTTGGGTTTGTCTGCCAGCATTCATGTAAAGATGTGGTCCTGATCACACCAGACTGGCAGATACTGATGGTCTGGCCAGGATCTCCCCAAACTCCTTTAACAATGCAGAAATAAGTCTCACTTGGAGCAGTATCACTTCTCTAGTGAGTAGGTAGCTTGACTGGAAAACATACAGTAGTTCTCAGGAATTCTTGTTAATTAATAGCTCAGAAGGAGGTACCAGGAACAATTTCATTTCATAAAGATAACCTATGAAGATATATAAATTCCATATTATTGCTTGGCAGGTTCTATGGAGTTTTGTTGAGACATATAGATTTCAACCACTGAAATGCACATTTTCTAAAAAGTTCTAATTCAGATGAGATAATTAGCGAAGGAATAGCTTTGAAAATAAGAGTAATTCAACCTGAAAAGGTACCACACATATTCAGAAACTAGTAATTTCCACTGAGCTATCTAGTGTTCCTTGACTGCAGAAAGGAGTGAACTGATATGTCATCATTCCTTTGCTACTACAAAGTTATGTTTATATTTTTCCTAAATAAATTCAAAGTCTTTGATGCATGAAGGCATACATACCATGTTTTAAATGATTAATTATAAAGTAAACAAAACTAATTTTTCTGTAATACTTAGAACATTGTAAACAAATACTTGAAGAGTGAATCCTTCAATAACTTATTCTCAGCAATGGTGTCTTGTTTTTACAGCAGTTATGAGAATGAGGGAAATATGAAGGTGACCTGTGGGGTGGCTAACAGCCAGTTTGCAGATAGCTTCTGTTTGTTAGATTGGACAGCTGCAGCACAGACAGATTTTATTGTTTTTAATTATGTGTTTTTCTTTTTTCTTGCCTACCAATTTGATTGCCAGGAGGATAAGGTACACATTTTCTTCTACAGTTATAAACCAGAACTCTTACATGATAAATACCCTCAACAATACTTGAGCTATCTTTTCCCTGCCTCTCAGTAACCTACGTGTATTTGTTCATGCATTTTACTTAGTTGTTATTGAAAAACCTGCCTCGTTATCCTATGTCTCCCACATATCCCTGTCATCCCACTTTGTGCAAGGTAACAAGTTACTTCAAAACAAACAGATCTAACAATTTGGAATTGTTGGTTTTCGGTAACCTGAACACAAAAAGAACAATTCAGGAACTGGTCTAGTCAGCTCAGTCCATGTATCTTGCTGAGCATGTTCAGAGACCTTAAGAGCAGCACTGTGGTTCAGGAATCAGATTTCTTGTTAACCTGCAAACCCCCTAAATTACACACAGAGAAAAAGTCTGATATGGAGAACTACCTTACTGTATAGTGTTTGTTATCCTTGGCATGCAAAAAACATTCAGGACTCACATTGTGATCTGTAGATATTAGGAACTGCTGAATGTTTGATTAAAAAAATGTGCTCAAACAAATAGTATTTAGAGTATGAGAAACTGAAATGGCTCTAAATGAAGGCTGTTAATTCAGATATTACAACTACAACAGGTAGGGCACTCTTGAAGATTTAACAGTAATAAACATCTCTTTTCATCATTGCAAACATAGTAAATATTGTCAGATTGCTAAATCTTGATAGTTTGGCAAGTGAGACACAGCAGGTTTACTGTGTAAAAATAAAATAAAACAATAGTAGAAAAATCACAAAGACCTCAAAAATATGTTGAGAATCATTCTGTGAGGCATTTATATATTTTACTGGTTTTCATATTAGGTAACAGGAATCATACTAGACATAGTGACCTAGGCTCCAAAATTTACATCCACAAAGTTGTTACTATAAATACTTTGCAAAATTTTACTCAGAAAAATAGAAGTTCATTGTTTTGACAGTCAAAAAAAAAAAAACAGCCAGAATTCCATCTCTTCATTATAAGAGTCTTGTGGTTCCACTGTAATTATTCCACAGCAATGACTCATATCAGACTGGCTGAGGTGACTGTAAACATTTGTTAAGTATTTCAAGTTTTACTGAAGAAAAACCAAAAGTGCCATAGTAAACATTCAAAACTAACAAAATGGTATTATGACAATATCTAACCTAAAAACATCTCAAGCCCTGCTTTTCCAGAGTACTTAAAATATATGAAAGTGAGGAATAAACTTATTTATGAGATTTGAAAGACTACATGTAGTGCTGTGTTTAAGAAATTATTAATAGAATTAAGCTTGCAAAGTCATACTCTTCAGTTACACTATTAGCAGCTGTTCCTAGTAATTTGGAAAAAAATTCAAATTCATGAAAAAATGCAAATTTCATGACATTTATTTTGTTCCTTCCACCTGATGAACAAATGAAAACACATATACCCACTTATTAGACAGACTGATATTCGAACATGTTGCATGCATCCATTTTAAAAATACACCAAACGGACACAGAAATTATGGACCAACCTTTTGCTCAGGTCTAATTTTAATGTGGCTACTCAAGGATTAACATTCCACACAAGTAGAGTGACAAAAACATGGATTCAAATAAAAATTACACTGTTTAATTTACCCTGGAAATCATAATTCTTCTTCCAGAATACCATGACAGATTCCACAATCCTCTTGGAAGATGTACAAAAGATGAAAGACAAAGGAGAAATAGCACAGGCATATATTGGACTGAAGGAAACAAACAGGTACAGGTTCTCTTTAATCTATGATCAGTTGGGGTCTGCTGTGACACACTGTGTGTATCATGTTCAGTAAGTTCCATCCATGGAAGTCTAGCTACTTACAGTCTGGAAAAAAAAACATATAGTTTGGGTTATAATTTTATTTTATTAGTAAAATTGCCATATACAATATTTGAAAGGTCTGAGAAACAATGCAGAAATGCAAAATCAGGCTTTCTGGATTTACATCTTGTTAGATTTTAATTTCTACGTTGTTCAGACTGGGTGCCATTCCCCATGCTGGTTTGTTACCTTTTGTCCAGTAGTGGTCACAGTAGTCTGTCATAACACATCTATTGTAGCAGCATGAAATGCTGTAACCAGCTGGGCTAACACCAAGAACGAAATTTCATCACCAAGAAGAAATACGTAAAAACAAGAGAAATAATTTGCTACATTGTTTTAGGGTATTTTTGGTTTCTCTTTTATAATAACTTTAATTTAGTGTGTAACAACCTTAACATGTCATCTCATCACCATTACATATCTCTCTTGTATTTTTTTAAATACTTTTTTTGAAAGGCAATCTCTCCAGGACTATCATATGCTGAATGAGGACGGAGAACTTTGGCTGGTTTATGAAGGGTTAAAACAAGCCAACAGGTTACCAGACTTCTCAGAATGGTTTTTTTTTCTCCATTTGCATCTTCTTTTCTAGCTAACTGTGCCCCTTGCTATGGGTTTGCTTTAGCTACAGTATTGCTTTAAGAGAAAACAATTCAGAACTAATTACACAAATTATAATTTCCTCAAACTTAGTCCCGAAACCTTTCTACTTGTCAAGTTTTATCACTTAAAAAGTTAAGAAGACGTAGCAACTAATGCATAAGCATACTTGCGCAAAAATACATTGAAATACCAGAAGCACCACAACTGGAAAATATTTGTAGTCTTTATGTTGGGTATGAAATTTAACGTGCCTTACAGGTTTTCAGCTATTTAACGAAGTACAACCATTTTACATATATATATATAAAAGCATATATTTAGTATATATGTTTGAGTACTTTCAGTATACACTTAACTTTCAGATAGTCACGGGTCTTGCTTTCCTTATTGTGACTCAAATTCAGTAAACTGGACATTTTTTTCCCACATCTCTCTGTGCCAGATTCAAAATGTAAGACACAAACCAACCAACAAACAGAAGTAATCTTCAGTTCACCACGGTGCTGTTCAAGCCTCTGTGCAGTCACTGCAATCTCTCCAGAGACTGCATGCTGGTTCTGGCTCAGCGTGCACATCTGGGCCCTGTATCCATGTATACGTCCCAGACTTCCAGAAGAGTTCCTAGTCCTGCACTGGCAATTAATTCAATAGATCAGCAGTGCTGATACTATTCAATATGCACATTTGGTAGCAGTAACTACAGGAGCACGTATTTTGCAATGAATGCTACTAACTAAAGTCTTTCCTTTTCTTGTGCTAACAAATTCTAAACCTAACACTGTTTTTGTAAGCCTGTGAAGATCTAACTTAGAGCAAGTGTTCTGCAGAGCAGGATGTGTTTGCTCTGTGCCTCTTGTTTCTTCTCCTAGCACTCAAGAGACAAGAAGCTTTCTATTAAATGACAGAGCAATGCAGGTAAATTACTGTTTGCCCTTGCGTGCTTGATCAGCCTAGTTACTAATAAATGTGTCTGCCTTATTTAAACCCTGAAAGATTGTCTAATTGAATACTAGTAGTCACTAGTAGTGTCATTTCCTCTGTGTGTGTATGTACAAAGTGATGAGTCAGAGCACTGGGACAGTGTCTTGCAAGCAGGGGTAGATCCCCACAGCACTGCTTGGAAGGAAGCTGGTACGTGTTATTCCCACTTCACATGAGAGGAATTTGAGACGTGATGTGCCCAAGGGGAAAGAGCGACTCCAGAGGTCAGGATAAAATAGAGCTCCCGGCTGCCAGTCCAGAGTTTGTTTCTGTTGTTAATCTTTTGCATACTAATGACAACTCTGCGCAACGTTGGTGTAACGTAAAAACAAAGATTATTTATGTGTGTTTACAACTAAATAGTTTCTGACTGAACAGAGCTAACTCTATATAAAGATTTTCCTTTGTTAATATTGCAGGGTCCTATCTTAAGTGAACACAGTGTCTTCATCTTACACAGTTTGTTTGATTTGATTAGAGGTAAAACCTCCTTAAAGCCCCTTTAAAAGCAGTAACAATCTGTGAAGACTTAACATTACATTTATTGCCACATTTTCTCAGTGGCATCCCACACAGTATGTGTTCAATCACAAAGGAAATTTAAAGCAGTGTCACAATTAGGTTCTCTCCACTTTTTGATGATGCAAGCTTAATTTAATTAGAAGGCATACTGAAGGGTTTAAAGAGTACTCTTGCCTTTTTCATTTTCCTTTGCAAGCCGTGGCTAATTGTTCCTGAGCAGCAGCTAAAGCTTTACACTCCCTCTGAAAATTGGGGACGTAACTTTCCAAATGTGTTCACGCAACTGTTGTTTGACTTCTTTAGGCTGCTGGAGTCTCAGCTTCAGTCACAGAAGAAGAGCCACGAGAACGAACTGGAATCACTGCGAGGTGAGATCCAAAGTCTGAAGGAAGAGAACAACCGGCAGCAGCAGCTCCTAGCGCAGAACCTGCAGCTGCCTCCAGAGGCCCGCATCGAAGCCAGCCTACAGCACGAGATCACCCGGCTGACTAATGAGAACTTGGTAAGGGAGATGGTGCTGCGGGAGCAGGCATGGGGACATGCAGACTTGCTGCACCTCTAAGCTCTTGTCAGTTTTCAGAGGGCAACCTCCTAAAAAAAATTGCATGAGTGCAGTGTTTTTTTGTAGCTAAGCTAATGGGTGAGAGAGATTTAATGATGGCTGCTGAAGTAATAATGTTTCAGGGACTTTGCTCGAAGTTTGTGGCACGGAGAAAGCTCATGGATCCCAGCTTTCAACTGATGAGTTCAGTCCTTGCTAAGTAGACTGTTGATATCTGGAGAAGTCATAAGAAATATTAATGCCAAGTAGTGGTGTTTCCTGTGAAATGTGTTAGTTTGTGTAAAAACTCTGATGAAGTTCTTCAATTATTTAATGTCACTTTTCTTCCCATTTCCCTCCTTCCCTGCCTGAACTGACACAGATAATCCACTGTGTTATGAGCTCCAGGTATTCAGTATGCTTTGAAGAAAGAAATAGTTCCAGAAAAAGAAACTTGCTTAGGAGTCACTTAGCTAACAGTTGGTATTCCTTGTTTACTGCACAACATTCTTGTATGAAGGAAAGATGAAGCGAAACTCCTCACCCGTCACTGCAAAGGATTATGTTCATCATATGCAGGGTAGTTAGATTCTGGGGAGATTTTCCAGAGAGGCCCATGGTGCAATATCATTGGCTTATCACTGTTTATTAGAAAAGGAACCATGTTACTTCAGGAAGAAAAATCCTAGCTCTGAGTGTCATTGCTTCTTCTAAACAAGCCATGGCACAGTCTTTCCTGCTTGTATTACAGAAGTTGTCATTGTCAGGCTCTTGTCTTAGTACCAAAGGTTTTGAGGAAAGCATCACATAATTCGTCTAATAGATGCTGGAAAACTGATTGAAAGTATGTTTGTCTCAGAAGCATCTGTGTCCCACTGGCAAAGATAAATGGCAAATGTTCTGTCTCTGACAGATCCATCCTGCTGTTTGGTCATATGTTAGGATTTAGCCTTTTTTTTTTCCAGAGAGACCAACTCATCACATTCTGTGTTCTCAAGACAACACAAAGTCATGTAATTACATCCCAAAGAAGTTCTCTTTATATTCAAACACAGTGAATGTCATTTTAGTTGTTAAATACAGACTCATTGGTTAGCATTTCACTTCTGATGTTTGAGTACTGCAAGTCCACTCCAAGTCGGAAATGCTTCTTTTCCACTCCTAGCCCTAAAGTGGAAATAATTTAAAGGCTTTCCAGATGTGATATTAGAATTGCAGTAATCACTGCAATCCCATCTTCATTAGCATAAGAAAATGTCCTGCCCAGGTTCTTACAAAGGATATATTCCAGGCTTTCACAGTATCAGTACTGCTCATTTTTAAAAGATCTGACTTCTGCAACTCATCTACATCAGCTTCTCTCTGGGGAGATGGAGGCGTGAACACCACAACTAAGGACTAGACTACTTAAAAAATAGAGATTCTTGGTCTTGTTTTAATCTGATATAATTTATGTAGTGCCGACTGAAGTATCAGTGTTTCAAGAGGAGGGGGAAAAACAATCCTGTACCTATTTTTACAGTTTAATGAGGAGTTGTATGCAGATGATCCCAAGAAGTATCAGTCGTACCGGATTTCACTTTACAAACGGATGATTGTATGTAGATCACGCGAATCCTCTTTCTCTGTTGTCTCGTTCGCTGTTTCTGGAGCACTAATTGAAAAGCAGTCTGCCTCCCTTTCTAAGGAAACCCTCAGCAGAGAGCTTCACGATGCCAGTTACTTCCCTCACTGCTTTTTTTTTTTGTTAGTCTTATTGTCCTCTGTGTAACCTGTGTCTCTTTTTGATGCACAGTTTTGTTACTAATATAAGTCTTGCACTGCGAGCAAAGCATTTCTTTTTGAATACTACATAATACTGCCCTGGAAAAGAGGTATATGATGCAAGAGATGCTCAATTTTCAGAACCACCCTTTGAGTTAAAGCTTTGATACGTTTTAATTCAGTTCAGCAAAATAAAGGCCTGATCATACAGATACTTGTTAAGGTGGATAATACCTGCAATCCAATCGTAGCCCGAATTTGTTCATAGATCTCTGTACAGTGCTGACATCTGGAATTAATAAATCTATCAGAATCAAAATACATAAACCTTTAAATATTTTTTTGAAATCCAAAATATGAAGGATAAATTCAGAAGTAATATTTCCATAATAATTAAAAATAACACCATATGTAAGATTGAAAGAATATAATAGGAGTTTCTGAATCTTAATGAGCTGTGAAATCAGTTCCATTTCTTTAGAAAAACCATAGAAAGAGCTTTATTCCTCCTGACGTTTTTGTTGTTCGGATATCATATCCCTCCACTGATAACGTTTGAAACAGTATGTTGGAGTTATATGTGGGGCTCTTTTATTAATTTCAAGAGAAATCGTTCTATCTGACATTAAGTATATTGTGTTAATAAGTAAAATTTGTGCATAATTCTAAGTTATTGCCCATGTTGCACTAGTTTTTTTCACTACTTCAGGGAAGGGGTAGTTTCCCAGATGATGTTTTTGATGCAGGGAGGTCATGGTCCCTCGTGTTCTTACTGGTGCCATGAAGAATCATGCTTATGAAAGAGCATTTTTCTTTTAAGCTGCTTTCAAACCCTTAACCTGGAATGATTTTCATGTGTTCTGATCTTGAGATTTTGCTTCTTCTAGAAAGACTTCCCATTTTAAAATTACATTATTTTACTAATGCATTAGCCTAGGTCATAGAATTATTCAAAGATAGATTTCTAACGAGTGCTTCTTTGAAAGAAAAATACAAATTTATTGCAAGAGTAGGACTTTCAGATGCGAGGTATTTTTGAGGTACAGAAAAAAATATGTGAGATGCCAATTTCAGCATAAGGAAACGTGGTAGCAGGAAGCCACAGGGAAATGGCAGGGCGTCATAAGGAATGTCATATGTTTGGATGTTTGATTTGGGTAAATTTGAGTGCAAGTTATGGTCTTCCTGCAGATCTCTCTCTTCATGTCTTATAAAGTGAAGATGTCTGAATAGCAAGTCAGTCCTGAAGGCATGAATAAATGATGCAGAAATACAGGCTAGCTGTTAAATAATAAAGAAAATTATTTCCGTGATGCATTTGAAAGGGCAGGGAGGAAGCATTAGGGAGATGTGTTTGCACAAAATACCTTCTGCTGTAAGAACTGACCTAGTTCTGAGTGTCTGCAGAATATACCTGCCTGAGAGCTTTGCCTTTGTCATGCTGCACACAATTTAATAATCTTTGTGGTATTTGGCTTGTGTTATAGGCAGCGTACCAGCTTGCAAGCCTCAGCCGAAGGACAGCACCACTGTTCAGCTTTCCTCACCACCTTGCATTTCTAACAGTGCTGATTTTGTCTCTGTCACTCATTATGGGATTTTTCTCATCTCTTAATCTTTCTGTCATTTTAATTTACAGGATTTAATGGAGCAGCTTGAAAAGCAAGACAAAACTATTCGCAAGTTAAAGAAACAGTTGAAAGTATTTGCTAAGAAGATCGGTGAACTTGAAGGTACTTTTATATTTTGAGAGAAAGAGAAAGATTTTGGTTTACTTTTTGTGATCCCCTTGTCATCATATTCATCTGTTTTAGCAGACAAGAGAGCATGAGGTCTTCAGTAGCATTAGCCTCTGTTGATTGTTTCCAGGAACAGGAGGTACGCTCAGAGCTTTACAAACCTTTAGAAAATCTGTCATCTTTTGAACTGATGAGTGAAGGAGATTGATGTTTCTCTGAAGGCAGAAACCATTTGAATATCAAGGAATGTTACCTGAACTGTTTGTGTACTCAAAGGCAAAAGCAATACTAAATATGAAGCAGGCATAAATAATTTACCCAGTTTTCCTTTGAAGGTGAATTTCTTTGTCACTGGAGCCAAAAATGCTGAGACTGTCTTTCTCTGCTTGACGTTTCCTTTTGGAGCTGCTGGCCAAACTTGAATATGAGAATGCTGAGATATGGACTAGGCTAATTTTATTTTTATGAGTGTCAGTGTGAGCTGCCTTAGGATCTTAGGGCTGGTGAGACCAAGAGCCTATTATGTCTCTGCATAAGTCAAGTCATTTTAATTGCTAAAAGCAATTAATAATATTATAAAGTTGAAGTATGAATTTGTTTTTAAATAGTCCTGCTCTTAACCTTTCAAAGGCTTTTTATGGTCATCTGCTTTTTCCAAAAACAAGCTTACTGCTTGGTACCAGGTTAAACTTAGATTAACAGGTGTATATTATCCTTTAGTTAGTGGGAGCTCTCTCTGAGCTCCGGTTTGGATTTCTGCATTTTCTGTCCTGTTTGACGAGTGCCCAGGCTTGGCACACTTACAGGATGTGCAATAGTTTGTCATGGCGTGCAGCTAGGAGGGCTGTGAGAAGAGAATGTAGACTTCATGGGTTGAAGCCAAGTTCTCCTTTCCAAAGGCAAACATGCAATCTAATCAGCTGGAGTCTAAGTGTTGAATGTGATATTGTGAAGTGCTGTATGCAACAGGGTGGATATTTCATACATCCTTTCAAAAAGTTTCTTAAACTAGGTTTGTTTTTAAAATTTGGATATTGTTTGGTTACTACTGTGAACAAAATCACAGTTGTATTCTTACACGATACAGAGTGGGAGAATGTTTCTGAAAACACGGGTTTGTTTCTTTTTATTACCTAATTAACTTAGAAGGGTGTAGTAGGTCTGGCTGGGATAGAGTTAACTTTCTTCATAACAGCCTGTATGATGCTGTGGTTTGGATTTGTGGCTAAACTAGTGTTGGTGACGCACTGGTGTTTAGGCTGTCGCTGAACAGAGCTTACACAGCATCAAGGTTTCATCTTTTTTCTCACTCTTCTCTCCATAAGCTGGGGGTGGGAGGGCACATAGCAGGATTTTCCCCTGTCCCCCACAAAGCCCCTGGCTTTCCTTAGTTTATTATTTGAGTCTTTATCTCAACCCACAAGTTTTCTTCCTTTTGCTCTTAGTATCCTCTCCCCCATCCTGGTGGAGCCAGTGTGGGTGTTTGGCCGCTGGGTGAGGTAAACCTACCACAATAGGTCACAAATCAAGTCTGAAAAATGCTGGCATTTTGCAAAACAACTACCAGTGACCCTTGCAGAATTAACCTGGGATTAAGTGATTAACAGCTATCACTTCACCTTTGTGCTTTTATATGATAAAATCCAGGAAATCAGCAGTAAATTTATATTAATAGACGCTATTCACATTCTTCTACTCTTCCTCAAAGGAAGAATGCCATCCCAAGATACAGTTATTGACAATCTATTGTTTTGTTTAATGGGCTTTTTGCTGATCAGTGTTATCCTGACCCAAAGAAAACATTTATTACTTCTATATGCTGGAGTTCTTCCTTAGAAATGTCATCATTTCCTCTGGTATGCATTGGTATCACTGGAAAAAAAATACAATTTCTTTTTAATTTCTCATCTGAAGTGGGCCAGATGGAGAACATATCACCTGGACAAATCATTGATGAACCTATTCGTCCAGTTAACATTCCACGGAAAGAGAAGGACTTCCAAGGGATGTTGGATTATAAGAAGGAGGATGAACAAAAACTCGTCAAGAATCTTATCTTAGGTAAGCATCTTTCTCATTTGTGGCCTCCTTTGCTCCCACACACACTGGAAAATGACTGATAATTACACAGCATTTGCATTATGAAATGAACAGCTTATTTGGGTTTTGACAGTGTTCAGTTTATCTAAAATTACTAAATGTCTATTTTAAATTAATCATCCTTCCCAGTAAGTATAGTACATATTAATGTGTCTGCTGATTTTTTTAGCGGACAGTTATAGTTTTTTATTCTGTTCTGGTATTTTACCAAGGAAGTGACTATTCTTAGTTTTGTTCTTACTTTTCACTGGCCTTCTATAGATACGTAAGTACTGTTAATGGAGTGCATTGGAATTACCTCAAATAACATCTTCCAATGAGTTTACACTTAAAGCAATGTGTGTTTGTTTTTCCCAAGAGCTGAAGCCACGTGGGGTAGCTGTCAACATGATTCCAGGACTCCCAGCATATATTTTGTTCATGTGCGTGCGCCACGCGGATTACCTTAATGATGATGAAAAACTGAGGTCATTGTTGACTTCTACTATCAATGGCATCAAAAAAGTGCTGAAGGTTAGTTTAGACTTCTTGGTTTAGAAAAACATTAATTTAAAACTTGTTTTTGATTTCATGTTAGAAGAGGGAGGAAAGGCTTTCAATGAATTGACTCTGGATTTCTGATCAGTAAACTCCTCCCACTGAAGTCACAAAAAAGTTGTCTTAACAAGCAACAGATTACATTTGATAGCATCTTATTCATATAACACTGTAGATGCTATGAATTTGTGGAAAAAGAACTACTTTCTTTTTACAAAGTTTTGGATGTAGTCAGAGTTTGCAGAGTGAGTCTATGTTAATCTTCACCAGAAGGCTTAATTGAAATATTGCATTTGCAGTTGTGATTCACGGATTTCCTCATTCGCTTCATCACAGATGACACTGATGATAATATGTTACTGCCTAAAGTCTTAGCAATGAGTTGGCTAGGAGAGTTTAGGCCAGGTCTATCCTGAAGGCACTATTAAGACATAAATATGCCTTATGATTCATGGAGTTTTTTCAGTTCTTAAATAAGGCAGATGTGCTCAAAAGCCAGGCATTCAGTCAAGCTACATGTTTTGAAAAAATACCTGGTAAGCAATCCTGCAGGAGTTTAGATTTTCATAGAATCTTTTGGACATTTTTAAGTGAATGGAGTGCATGCTATAGAGCTCTAGAAATTTTAATTACTATGGGTATACTAGGTTCTGTGTTGTTTGGTGAGGAGGGGTTGTTGAGGTTTTTTTTCCATATCAAGCTGCCAAAATGGTTATGCTGTAAGTGACATTCATCAAAACTGAGTTGTTCTCTGCTTCTCCTTCTGGCTCTGCCTCATTCCCATCCTCCCTTTTGGGCTATTCACAAGAGTCATTGTACCACAGAATGGGTGTTTTGGGAATACAGTCATATTGCCCTGTGATTTCTGCACAGAGCAGTCAGGACCAGTCTGTAAAAGCACAGAAAGTTCATATCTGTGGAGGAAATCATATTTTGAAAGTTCTTGAAAAATACTTCATAAAACAGGGAGCTGTTTAGTGGTATTGTGCTAAACCTCTTGCTTTTCCAATATGTTACCAAAATACAGAAAGTTTTGCAGAGTATTAGAACCTGAGTAGCTCCAAGAAAGTGAATTTTAAGCGTTTAACTGTTTATCTACCAATTACTTTATTCCTCCTACCAGTCTCTGTTGAAATGTATTTGTTTTTATCTTCAGAAAAGAGGTGATGACTTTGAAACAGTGTCCTTCTGGCTGTCTAATACCTGCCGATTTCTGCACTGTTTGAAGCAGTATAGCGGAGAAGAGGTAAGCAGTGCTCTGGTTTCTTTTGATCTACAATAGTAGTAGTGAACACTACTCTTTAACAAATTGATATAATATCTCAGAATCTAGTCCAGGTCTCTAAAAATGGCTACACATTTTGGAGATGATGTCAGTGAAAAGCAAGGGGAGATAAGATTTGAACCATCATCCCTTTATTGCACATTGGATACCTAGAGACTAGATGACATTGTCCTCCCAAAAGTGCTAATCCAGATCAGGTAGAAGAATCTGGCTGTTACTATTACATGGTTCAGTAATGATTCACTGCACTTCCTATGAAAAAGGCTTTATTAAGCCCTTTAACCATAGTGTGGCAGACCAACTTATATTTGGAGGCTGTGGTATGCTTCATTCCTTTTTCTAACTTAACTGAGCTTTTGGCCATAAATGGCCATGTGAGAATTCCCATGCTGGAGTGGGAGGGAAGGGTCTTACCTGCCAGAAAGTCGACTGAGCTTGTTCCTCTGTGAAATATTTGAAGTTTCAAGTGAAGGAAGCAGGCATTGCACAAATCACAATTTAAAAACAAATCATAACATTAACCTCAATCAGAAGTAGTTTCACATTCAAATTTGACTGTATTTTGTCAGCTGCATGAAAAAGTAGTAGGTTTGTGTAATATTTTTGTATTGAAGTATTCATTTATGTTATTTTATACATTCAGGGGTTTATGAAACACAATACATCTCGTCAAAATGAACACTGCCTCACTAATTTTGATTTAGCTGAATACAGACAAATACTGAGTGACTTGGCTATTCAGATCTATCAACAACTTGTCCGAGTGTTGGAAAACATTCTGCAACCAATGATTGGTAAGGCAAAGCTGAATTCCTTACAATTCCCACTGTAGTACCAAAAGAAAAATTTTGATGATGGTAACTGTAATGTACTGTTTCTTGTATTTCTTCCTAATCAGTAGAGTTTCATTAATAGTTCTTGTGGTATTCTTTTTAAAGATGACGAACACTACACTGGACAGGCTGGATTAGAGGAAAAAACTAACCTGTGGCTGGTTCTGCTGTCTGTGACAGAATAACTTGATATAAATTATTCACGCTTGCTGTTGATCATGCACTTACAGGAAGAAACTGTTAGCACTGTCTGATGTTTGTTGCCCTATCTGTTGGGAAATATCCCATGGAAATTAGCAATGAAAGAGTGATGAAGATCACAGAGAGATTTTTTTCATTAAAAGTAGTTTTGATTTTTCTTGTCAGAGAGTACTCTCACACAAATTTTCATTATGCTTTCCACTCACAATGTTTAGAAGACTGAAACAGCTCTTGGTTTGCTGACTCTGCTGCTCATATGACCATGGGAAGAAAACAGTATTTTGCTGAGCCTAGAGTTAGACTTTTCCTTTCAAACACACGTTTGAATCTTTGCAAGAACCTTGTAAATTTAGGTTTTGCAGAACATAGTGGGGCACAGAATGATTTGGAATCATGGTAAAGTGTAGCTAGCAGAAAGCCCAGACTGCTCTTTCTGTTTAAACAGTGTTTTTCTGTCTTCCACTGTATGCTTGCATATCTGCAATTTTCAGTCATTATAATAATGTTGTCAATCAAATGCAGTTTCAGGAATGCTGGAGCACGAGACTATTCAAGGTGTCTCAGGGGTAAAACCAACAGGGCTGCGGAAGAGAACATCCAGCATTGCTGATGAAGGGACCTACACTTTGGACTCCATTATTCGGCAGCTGAACTCCTTCCATTCAGTGATGTGTCAGCACGGAATGGATCCAGAGCTGATCAAACAGGTTGTCAAGCAGACGTTCTACATCATTGGGGCCATAACGCTTAATAACCTTCTCCTGCGCAAGGACATGTGTTCATGGAGCAAAGGAATGCAGATCAGGTGGGAGAACTCATGTCCTACTTTTCTTGAATGTGCTGCTGGAAATCTTAGTGAACTTTTGATACTGCTGAACATAATTTTGATGAGATAGCAGATTTTGACTATTTATCTGCACAAAAACAGTTGTAGATGCTGCTAAAGTGATTTTTGTGAAGCTCACTTAAAAAAAGCTTGGATGACTCAGGCCAAACCCTATCTGGCTTTCAAGGAATTGTGGTACAAGCAAAACAGAAGTATTTCATGGTCAAGTAGGAATCAGAACTGCACGCAGAATGCTGGTAGCTGCTTTCTCAGCTTTTAGAGAAGTATAACAAACATACCTGCTGTATTTTTTGTATGCTGGTGACTCAGTGGATTCCTGGTGTGTTCATCCACCCTGTGGTCTACTGCATCTTGCAGTAAAGCCATCTTATTCTATTCCTGCATTTGGCATCAGTTATCCAATGCACTTTACTGGCATATGCCAGGAAATTTAGCCAAGGCATTTCAGTCCCTCAGGTAACTTTGAAAACCTCACCATTGCATTTGCCTTTCTTCTTACATTCATCACATTCGTGCAATTAATAGGAAGAGAAACAAAGATGAAAAACTAGTTAGTGGAAGTCTTTGGCTGTATTTTCCAACCATTTTAAAAATCAAAATTTCCTGCCTTAATCAGAAAGAAACAGTATGAAGACAAAATTACAAGTATGAGGAAAAACATGTAAGGACAAAGAAGAAACACTGGGAAAGACAAATTGCATATGCTTTTGATTTAGCCAAAACCAGACACTAATATATTGATACTCTTGTATTCTTTTTACAGATACAATGTGAGTCAACTGGAAGAATGGCTACGTGATAAAAAATTGATGAATAGTGGAGCTAAAGAAACACTGGAACCCCTCATCCAGGCTGCACAGTTGTTGCAAGTAGAAAAGAAAACGGATGAAGATGCAGAAGCCATTTGTTCAATGTGTAATGCACTGACTACTGCCCAGGTAAGCAAACTGTCATTGTCTGTTCTGCTGCCACTTTTGAGCAGTTCTCTGCTCTGTTGGTGTTTGCTGTGCCTGCCTGCACTGTTGTCACACATGGATCGAAGGTTTCTTACTTTGTTTTGCATTCATGCATCTGAAAAAGATTAAGTTGGATGTGTGGGGAAAAAAAAAAAAAAAAACCAAAACCAGCCCTTTTTGAGGTCTGATGTTCAAGATGAGTTTTGAACAAATGAGGGGAAGCTGAATAGATAGTGCAGTGTGGAGCACTATACAGTTTGTGAAAATCCTTAGAGAAAACTCCGTCTCTGCACTCCAGACAGCTCTGCCTAGGATGCTAGGAAATAATCTTTCTGCCATCAGAGTTGGTATCCAGTTAAGTTAATGGACCATTCACACAGAACTGTTGTCTCGGGCTTTGCAAACAAAGTGTTGTTGCTGTACCCATTAGCCTCAGAAGGCTGAACCCAGTGCATCTCAGTAAACAGCTGAAGACTTCTGTTTATGAAAGCTTGGATTTTTTACAGATAGTTGCACTTTAACCATGCTACATTTGCATAGAGCTTCTAGAGGAATAAATGGATCTAAGCATCTTTGATGACCAGTGAATACTTCCATTGCAAAAATGAAGTATTTCTTTATTTCTTTCACAGTGTTGTTGGCACTACCGGTTGCATTGGTTCAGCTGTTCTGATTTAGTCATTCACATTGCTATAAAATCTGTTAGTCTTGTTCTGAAACAGGAAGTTAGAATTCCACGTGCTTCAAGTGTTTGAACTTTGTTAGAAAGTGTTATAAGTTTATTTTAAGAGAATCGTGCAAAGAGAATTTTTTATAAGTAGTACAGTTTTAATCCATATTTAAAATATTTGTGACACATTTTTTTTCTTCTGTTTTATTTTAGCTTAATTTTGGAGAAATAGCTCACTCTCGAAAAACAGTTAAGTTGTATGAATCTCTTGAATGGAAGCTCCAGAAGGTTATAATTATAGGGTCAAAATTAGAGTGAGAAATACAGGATCTTTCTAGGGGGAATGCAGCCAGCTACTTATAATCTAATTTTTTCCATAGTTTTGTATTTTCCACACACACGTAGAAACTTAGAATTGCTACTTCCAAAGAACACATGTTCTGAAGGGAGTAGTTTTATAACATAGAGTTAAGCAGGTGATGGAATTCTGTATGAATCAAAACAAAAAACAACAAATACGTATCAAGAATTTTCTTTTTATATAGCTCATTTTAAAAGTACATTATTAGTAACCACAAATGCATCTGTTGATTAGTCCGTAAAATGAACCTAAGAATGGTTATTCTTCTTCACAGATTGTAAAAGTTCTGAATTTGTATACTCCACTTAATGAGTTTGAAGAAAGAGTCTTGGTGTCATTTATACGTAAAATACAGGTATGGCTATATCTTTTCATAAAAAAATCATTGACCTATTTCTAAGAAACCCTTTGATAGTCCAGAATAGTTTGTGTCCTGAAATACATTCAGGAATCTGTAGTAAACTAGGCTTTTTAGCTATTGTTTTTTAGTTATGTTGAAATTTTAGCTATGTTAGTTATTTTAGTTATGTTAAAATTTTAAGAATCACAATATACTGCCTCCAGCCTTGCATGAAAACGTTAGTTTCCCTGTCAGAACATATGAGGTTTTTGAAAGGCGAAACATTTTTTTTGCTTTTATATCTGTGTATGTAAAGACACTTACATGCCAACTTTTCAAGTGTACACACACATTTATCTGTAAGCACAGATGAAATATTACCTCTTTGCAAGATGAGTTTTATCCCAGAAGTGGCTAAATGCTAATGTAATCACTTTCTTATCTTTGCAGATGCGTCTGCGAGACAGGAAGGACTCTCCTCAGTTACTCATGAATGCTAAACACATCTTTCCTGTTACTTTTCCATTTAATCCATCCTCTCTGGCATTAGAAACCATTCAGATCCCAGCCAGCTTGGGCCTGGGCTTCATATCACGTGTCTGATCTCAAGGATGTACTGTCAGTGTTAGATGGAGAATCAGTTGCCTGATATCTTTACCCGTTAAAACACAACAAACCACTGAAAACACATTTTCTCAACAGTCTATATATGCCCAGATCTGTAGGAAAAGTAGTTGGAAAACTACGTAACAGCACCACAGATTGAAGGCTAACAGAAAGATGTGCATTTGTGTTCAGTCATTGCACTTATGAGGACATCACTGATCCATGCATTTCCAGAATATGGATTCAGGCTTGGACAAAAATTGTGTCTTCAGCTGTCTAGAGACATTTTTAGATCTTTAGTAGCATATTTAAATAGTGTATATTAAACTCCATATGTAACTTTCTCATAGGCAGGGACCAACAGGGACAGTCACAGCCCTGAACATGGAAGACTTGAAAGTAAGGCATTTTGTAGTCGAATATGCAGTCACTTTGGGAGCCTGTTACATTTAATTTGTAAAAACTGGAATGGAGAAACACAAACTGGCAATATATAAAATGATTTCTTAAACCACTTCCTTATTTATGTCAGTTTGACCTAAGCTCTAGTGATAAGTCTTGTAGCTCACTATATGCTACAACATAGGTGTTCATTTGTTAGTACCGTGGTTTACCGAGCATACTAAATCGCTGCTGCATATTCTGTTCTTTTAAATGTATGACAGTATCATACTAAGCACTGAAATAAGATACTTAATTTTTTTTGTTGTCAACCTTATTTACAGTCTGATGCAGTCCGTTATTTTAAGTGGATTTTTGCAAATGGTATCAAATAACAACTGTAGAGGAAAATGGTAACTAAGCACAAGTAGCACACTGGAAATTAGTTAAAAGTAGTTAGCTAAAAATACAGAAGCTTGAAGCAAATGATCAGAAGTCAATAATAATTTTAGTTTTTATTTAGATTTTGTAGTCTAATGATCTCCTTTGTTTGTAGACCCCAGGGATGACAGTGAGTATTTTGAGTATAGTGTCTTTTGTTTTGTTGCCATTATTTAAAATAACCAAAAAAAAAAAGAAAGCTTTCCTCCATACTGGAATTTGAGAGGAAAAAGTTTAAGAAAGCATTTCTGCAGTAGCTCAAGCCTCTCCTTCTTTGAAAGGCTGATTAACAAGAACATTAAGTAGGTTTTGACTATGATGCTGTCATTTGACTATGATTCATGCTGATTTAATGGTTGGAGATCCAGAGCGCATAATGAGAAACTGAGTTATTTTGGATATTGCACATCTTACTGGAAAGATTTTTTCTGTCTTCTTGGACCTTCTATGTAGAATTCACATTTCACAATGTGCAATGTAAGCACAGACACCTCGCTTAAAGTTCCAGTTCTGAACTTTAAAGCAGGTAGTTTGTGGTGTATGGCTCATATACATGTTAAAAAAAAAAAAAAAAAGCCACACACATTGCTCAGTTGCATTGTGCAATATTTTTTATGTATTATAATAATTAGCAACTTAGCATTAACATCAATTTCTTTTAAAATATTGAATAAACTAGAGGTACACTATTAGACTATTTGGTACTAATCTGTTTGCCTGCAAAGTCACAGAAAAAAAATTTGCTGTTAAGCAGACTAAAACATTTCAGTTGTGTTTTACTTGAGGTAGACATGCTGTTTGTATGGTTGCTCAAACTGGTAGTACAGACAACCTAAACTTTGTCGGTTTCATTTTAAGATGCTCATATCATCTTATTTTCAAACGTGTATGCCCCATATTATGTTTGATGGATCATGCCAGTACTTCCAAGAACCTAATACTTGCATTGCGTAAATGTTTTGAATGATCTTTGCTAAATTATTTAGGTTATTCTCCTGTGCATGGTATACCAAACACTCTTTTTTCAAATGTTACTTGATTTCTACAGCTACTGTTAAGTGGCTCCAAATTAAGGTATCACGTAGTTTTCAAAGTTAGGGTTACTGCACTTGTAAGAATGTCATAGGAAAGCCTTCACAACCAGTAGCAAGGTTAGGAAAGAAAATACATGAGAACATGCTAACCTACAATTTTTTTTTTCCCCTTACTGAAAAACAAAAAATTGACATTACAGTACATTCATACTGTAGATCAGGAAATGTATCCACTACTTAAGTGTCCATGTTTAAAATGTATGCCTAAATGTATTTTTGTTTATTTTCAAAGTTTGTTTACCTGTAAAAAGCCTTATTGTATCTTGTTTCCTTAAAAAAAGTAGTATTTAGTAATTTATAGGTATCATCCTTAAACTCAGTGGTTTGACTGGTATTACTTTTATATCACATTAAAAGTATATGCTGCTTGACATGTTTTAAAGGAAAATATTTTTAAGTTGGAATAGATGTGTAGTTGGTAATTCATCTAACATTTTACATGGCAGTATTTTACATGCACTTTTCAGAAGTAAAATTTTAGTGTCAGTGTATAATATATCTTTCACCTTAGGACAAATTATCTCTTTAACCATGGAATATAATGCAAAATTATTTTAACGACTTTTTTTCCCCCCTTGAATCATTGTTAATCTCTTTTAATGTGGACATATCTTTTATATTTTAATTTATTATCTATTGCAATGATAGATTTTATCAGATGCTGGAAGAATACTTGTCAATGACCCCCTTAGAATTATATACAGTTATTCTAAAGATTTTGCACAATAATTACCTCATTCAGTTTGGTGTATTTTTATTCCAGTGATCATTTTATTCTGATGTTTAGAACACAGTCTTCTATCCAAATTTTGAAAAATTGCTTCTCAGACTTCAATCTGGGATGGAGCATGAAAGTGCTAAAGTTCATTAAATGCAATTAATCTGTCTATCACAGGAAAAAAAAATGGGATCAACATCAGTGTTTAAAAGTGGATTGCTCTCCAGTAACATTTTTTTCCCGACTTGGAAACACCAGCATTTGCTGAAGGTCTGTGTGATTTGCGATTTAAACTGAACGCCTATCAAATACTGTACAAAAACTACAAGTAAACTCTTGGGTTTTTAAGAGGCTGATACTTCATGTGATAAATAAAAGCCTTTAAACATAGGTCTTCACTTGATGCCACTACAGTACATAGTTGAAAAACAAAACATTGTCAGGACAACCTGAGCTCTGATCTGTTGTAGTGTCTGATGTTGTACTTAGTAAATGTATGCATCATAAAAACTGTAGCCTAATAGCTATCACTGGAAAATGTCCAAATAAAAATACAACTGTAAGGTTCGCTTTGGATTTTTTGTTTGCTTGTTTGGTTGGTTGTTCATGCGCTGCGTGCTGGCCTGTTCCCCAGGGGATCACTCGAGTTCCCTCTGCCTTCATGACAGGCTCAGTGTTGACTGCCAAGGGAGTTGGTTAAAATCTAAGGATTGTATAAATACGCACCCAAATTCCAACAGTGTGCCACAAACTGCTGTGCATATTTGAACGTATTTTGTTTGACATAGCCCACTTCCGCTAAGGTGTTTGGACACCACGTGTTAACTGTTGTTGAAATAAGAATTCAGATTTGTACTTAGTTAAAATATTGCCTTCTGTGCCACGAAAGTTCTGCGGTGCCAGGCAGGGAGGGCTCCTGAGCCTCTGGGCACCCATCCACCTGCCTGAACATGGAACTATGTTTATTCAAATCTTCTTCCTCGTAAAGGGCACTCAGGTACCTGTGCCTGTTAGTGCCCTAGGCTCACTACAGCCTTTCGGAGCTGTTTATTTTTCAGAGCCTGTTAGAAAGCGTGTCTCGCAGGAAGGCGACTGCTGGAAGGCGACCGCTGGGTCAGAGCGGCTCCCCCCACCGTCCCTCCCTCGGGCGGTTCCCAGGGTGCCCGCGGTGCCGGGGCCGAGGC